ATCACTATATTTTTAATAAAAATAATGTTATAATATCACCTTTACTTGGTCTTACATTTTTAGCCATTCTCCTTTCTTTCGTTTAAATTTTATATATTTCGTAGAAAATAAAACTTTATCTACAAACATATTAGAATATAATATAATTTCAATTTGATACACAATTATTAAGCGAAATTGTATAAATAGGCATTTTTATTGCTTTAATTAATGTTAGAATCTGCATTTTTGAAATTTTTATAATTAGTAACAATTATTTAATGAATTTCGATAAAATGTTAATTTTGAATTGTATTTTAATGTATTTTCTCTTTGCATTTTATTTCATATTTCCGCGCGGGAAGATGGTGCACGCAATGTAATGTGTTAGTGACCCTACAAAAATTAGATTATCCTCAATAAAAATTGGACATTTGTGAATGTTCGAAATGTTTGTAAATGATATTACATTTTTCACAATTTCAAACAAAAATTGTATTTTTTGAAACTCCACCGTTATTGCAAGTATCACATGTTATTGTATATATGATACGAAACTGAAAGAAACACAGATATGTGTATGTATGAGCGTAAAGAATATATACAATAGGTGTCACACATTATGTTCTTAAACTCTGATGACAGTATGTATTTCTTACGCGATCTTCTAAGATATAATAAATATAAGTGTCTTATAAAATAAGTATATAAAAATTTGTAATATATAAAGTTCTTTAACGAGATATTTCCAAATATTTAGAATTGAAACACGCAAATAAAACATGCTACTTATATTGAAATTTGTGTTAATAATTATATTAAATGTAACGTACGCGTCTATCACGCAAGATAGCGAAATATTATTACTACCGGCATTGAATTCGACAGACTTGAATGAGGTACTTCGTATTACTGTAGTGTTTTATTTGTTACTCTGCGCCCAAAGCGTTATTTGAAAATTATCAAGCATTTTCTTAATTATCCAATTTGTAGATACCATTAACTCTCAAAGTTTTCGGAAAATTGATTCAGTTGAATCTGCGTAGAGACGATCAAATGGTATTATATGCGTTTGAAGTATGGAAATATAATGCCAACGACGTTGCAGAAAATTTTGCGCAGTTAAAAGCATCGAATTCTTGCTTTTATCTTCACGAAGATCATGTTAGCTTTGCGGCCATCAACTTTTGTCAAGGAAATGGATTGGTCAGTGCGAGTAGTATCACATAAAAACGAACAGTTTGGAGAATGTTATTTTTTAATTTAAAATTTTATTGTTCTTTGTTTTATATATAAGTTAGAAAACAACACGACAAGTAAAAAAATAAATAAATCTTTTTAAAAGTAGGAAGGACTCATTTTTGTGGAAAACAACATATTCGAAATTTGGCCTTTGCGGAAGGACTTTGCGCCACTGTCCCTAATCGATGATTCTTGCGATAAAAAACAAATTAATCTTTCATTTGGCAAATCTCATCTTGTTAAAAAGTCAGTGAAATATTTTGGTGACTTAAATCTTTACTATTGGAAAAATTTTAAACCGAAGCGACGTCGCGTACGAAGTGCGCAACAAAAGTTAACCATAGAACTTGCCGTTTTTTTCGATGAAGCAGCATATCGCATATTCATGCCTCTTCTGAACAACGATAAGGAAAAAATACGTTACATGATATTAGCGTATGTAAATCGTATTCAGGCTATTCTCCATCATCCGAGTTTGGGTGTCTCTTTCGATATTTCGTTGAGACGTTTGGAGTTCATGGAAAAACAACCGATAAATTTACCAGCTACCAGCAGCAACCATAAGAAGCTGCTGCATTTGTTCTGCAATTATGCGGAAGTTCGCAAGCCTCCGAACAAAAATGATCCCCGTTACTGGGACATTAGCCTTTACCTAACAGGATTAGAACTTAATAAACGTTTGGAGAACGATTCTAATATTTATAACGTTCTGGGATCATCCTACACCGGTGGCTTATGCGAGAAGAATTTTTCATGCTCGATCGCAAGGTTTCGTGCTACTGAAATCGTATCTTCGGGTTTAAAATCATCTTCTACAGGTGCCCATGAAATTGGTCACGTGTAAGTATATATAAATTAGTTTTATACGTATGAATTAAGTAAAAATCACATTTTGTATCATAATTTATTTAATCGTACGATTTAAAGTCAACAAGTAAAAAATCTCTTTCTCTCTTTTTTTTAAGAAATTTGATTCTTTGATTGTTTATCTTTGTAATACGTTCACTACGTATTAACTATAAAATATATAAAGATATTTTAATTAAGTAATGTGAAATATATTATATATTCATAATTATTAATTTATCTGTTCAATAGTTTAGGATTAACACACGATGCAGAAAACTCAGGGGACAGATACGAATACATAATGTCGACATACGATGCCAATAAAAGTCGAGTAGCTTGGTCCAAGCAGAGTCGTAAAGCAATAAAAAAATTTCCGTTTAAATGTCTTCAAGATCATGTCAGACTCGAAGATGACACATACGTATTTGAAAGTAGGAGTTATCACAATTTACCTGGAAGAGAATGGACTGCCAAAGCACAATGCGAATTATTTTTCGTAATAACTTCGTATAGCATACATTATACGAA